TGGTCATCTTAATCCAATATCATGACTATTTCATTATTTTTTGGTCTTTATTGATGCATCAGGTAAACAAACACATGTTTCATTATTATCAACTCGAAACATGGTGTTTGCCAATCTTATATCTATGCTTATTCGCTTTTGGGCACATTTTCTTGATTATCCTATAAAAACATTGAGTATGGATAATGTAAAAGAATTTGCATCAAAGTCTTTTGAAGACTATTGTACTGCAAGAGGAATTGAGTTGACATATTATCGTCTATATGAACATGCTCAAAATGGACTTGTAGAGTCATTTATAAAGCATATATAACTCATTACGCAACCACTCTTCCTTCATGCAAATCTACTTGCATCTTTGTGGAGTCATGCAGTTTTACATGCTACAACATTAATATGCTGTTGTGTTGTAACACGAGTATACCGTGAAAATATAAAGAAAGGGGACTTTTATTAATGTTCAGTTACCTCGAATATTGGGAGCAACGACCGATTCCAGTGCCAATATTCAGGGGCCAATTCAAACACCCCGTCACAATCGGTCAAGGCATACTTACCAATAACGAAATGCTCCGTTCGAGTCCAATAGTGGGAGTCAACAGAATTGAAAGGACTAAATTGATGACCGAGTGAGCCTAACGCGAAAGACCAATTTGATCTAATTACGGGAACATCCAAGTCTTACTACGGGCCTCTTGGCCAATCTGACGCGAAGGACCAATTTGACCCAATTACGGGAACATCCAAGTCTTACTACGAGCCTCTTAGCCAATATAAGACCTGAATTAGTCGGGTGACTCAATGTGGTCCCGATTACGGGGGTTTCGATTCTGTTTCAGGCTGTCCTGTTCTCTGTGCCGTTTCAAGGAACGTTGTTTCCGAAAAAAGAATCTTTTAAAAGGCAAAAAAATGGAGGATAAAGCTCTGACGACAGAGTCAATTCCAGATCCAAGACGAAAGATTGAAGAAATTCAGAGGCTAGGGTTTGAAAGAGGAGAGAATTAGGATTAAAGGGGAGGATAGGTTAAGAAATGAAGGGGGGAGAATCAGGGTTTTTAAGGATCGGAGAGCTAGCTTTATGCTTGGAAGGGGGAAAAAAGACAGAGAATTGGATTTTTTTTCTTCATAGGGTTTTGAGAAGACTGAGGCAATCGTTGCTGAAGTCAGTGTTGTACTGGTGAATCGAGTTTTTGATGAAGTGGGTGTAATTACTCTTGACTGTTTTGGAAAATCGAAGTTACGTCTGTGATTGAAGAATTAAAAGGGTGTCTATAGGATTGAGTATGCAGAGTGAATGAAAATTTTTGGGTTAATCTAACAAGACAATCAGTGGATACAAGGTCGTGAGTATAAAGCGGTATCGAAGATTAGCAGATTGGATTGTTTGGGGTTCTCTGTAACGTCTAGAGACCTACCGGCTGGGGCAAAAAGGATTTTGGCGAGCAGTCAAAGGACATCCGTGTAGATTTACGATATATTCTTATAATTCTTTATATTCCAACAGTAAAAAAAAAATCGATAGACTGCTTGAATATTAGCGAATCTCCATACTACCTTCTACAGCCAGACGCTCGGTGCGTTCTTGAGTAGGAAAGAACGTAATACGACAACGCCTCTGTCCTTCTTCTCTTGAAATTGTTTCACCACATGAGCTCATTTCGGGTCGTATTCCAAATATATGTCACTTACGAGTATTTGGTTGCTATACTTGGATTCCAGTACCAGAACCTCAACGGCGTACCATTGAAGCTCATTGACAAGAAGACATATATGTTGGTTTTGATTCACCAAGCATTATTCGTATTGTTGATCCATCAACTGGCACATTATTACATGCACATTTGCAAAATTGCCGTTTTGAAAAAACTGTATTTTCATATCTTCAAAGAAGAGTATCTAATCAACAAAGAAATAAAGTACTCATATTTGAAGCACCAGAAACATTTACAGTGAATCCCAATCCTAGAACATCTTTGGCAGAAACTGAAGTTGCTAAGATTTTATATTTAAAATGGATTGCGGATGAAACACCTGATGGCTTCAATGATACATCTAGAATTACAAGAGTTCATATTAATGAGGCTCAGAATACACCTGCTCAGATTGCAGTGCCATTGACTACAATACCTCAAGTTATAACAACAACAACTAAAAGAACTTGTGGACTAGATAAGCAACCACGTAAGAAGAAAGCTATGAAATTGACTAATCCTGGTATTATTTCTCAAGAAACTACCACTCATCTTGTAGGACTACCAATTCATGATGATATATCCATGCATAATGTACTTTCAATTCTTATGAAAAATAATCTTGGAATTGGAAGAAATAAGAACAACTTAAGTAAAGAATTATCTATTTTCTATTATGCTACAAATGATATTTGGGACAGACCATCCATTATGGTAGATGAATCATTTGCATATATGATTATAGAAGCCCTTTCTTGTGAGGAAGATGATCTTGAACCTCAAACCATCGAAGAGGCGATGCGTGGCTTTGATTGGTCAAAATGAAAAACTGCTATTGAGGAGGAGTATGCCTCTTTGCGTAAGAAGAAAGTCTTTGGTCCAATTGTAGATACTCTTACATCTTGTCCTATGGGATATAAATTGGTATTAATATGCAAAGGAGATGCTCAAGGCCAAATAACCTGCTATAAAGCTTGTCTTATTGCTCAAGGATTTACTCAACGATTTGGCATTGATTATGAATCCACATATTCTCCAGTCATGGATTTAATTACATTTTGATATATTATTGGAATGACATTTCATGCCACCCTTGAGATGCATCTGATGGATGTAGTTACTGCATATCTATATGGTTCTCTTGATACAAATATTTATATGAAAGTTCTACGTGACTTAGAAATAAGAACTCCAAATCAATCTGCTCTAGGAAAATATCGTGGTATTAAATTATGTAAGGCCTTATATGGTTTAAAACAATGCGGACGAAGGTGGTATCAACGTCTTTGAGATTATTTAATTACAAATAATTTTATAAGTGATCCACTAATCCCTTGTTTGTTTATCAAATGAGATAAAAGTAGTTTTGTGATCATTGCTGTATATGTTGATGATTTTAACCTAGTCGACACTACATCTGCATGTGTTACAGCTACAAACCTACTTATACGTGAATTTGAGATGAAAATGCTAGGAAAAATAACTTTCTGCATTGGTCTTCAGATTATGCATCTTATAGATGGTAGCATTTTTTTCTATCAACTAACGTATATTAGACGAATTTTGCAAAGATTTAATATGATTGATGCTTATCCATTGTCCACACTAATGGTTGGATGTGGTCGTGATGGTCATGATCTATACCGTTGATGCGAGGAGGAAGAAAAAATATTGGGAGACCAATATCCATACCTCGCAACGATTGGAGCACTTTTGTATTTAGCTACATCTACAAGATGAGATATTGCATTTGCAGTTAGTGTTCTTGCAAGACATAGTGCACGTCCAATACTACGACATTGGAATGACATCAAATATTTATTATATTATTTAAAAGGTACTGAAGACTTGGGATTATATTACACAAAATCTGCAGATCCAAAATTGGTTGGATATTGTGATACAGGATATAAATCTGATATTGCAACAGCTAAATCTCAAACAGGATATGTATTTTTAAGACATGGAGCTGCAATATCATGGAAAACAGTGAAACAAACAATAACTGCAACTTCATCCAACCATGCAGAAATTATTGCCTTACATGAAGCATCTCGAGAATGTATTTGGTTGCGATCAATTGATAAATTCATTCAAACAACCTGTGGATTTTCATATGATGATTCTCCAACTATCTTGCATGAAGATAATAGTGCTTGTATTACACAGATGCAAGTTGGTTTCATTAAAGGCGACAAGACAAAGCATATTGATTCAAAGTATTTTAGTTATACTCATGCCTTAATTACTGATCAAGCACTTATAATTAAGAAAATTGAATCTACAAATAACCTTGCTGATCTCTTCACCAAAGCTCTCCCATTAAGCAATCATCATTGACTTACTTATGGCATTGGTATGCGGCGACTTGCTTTTCTTCAATAAGAAAGTTAATGAGCTCTTTAAATAATTAAAAAAAATGATGTTGTACTCTTTTTCCTTCATCTATGGTTTTTTCCTTAAATAAAATAAGATTTTCCTAGATAAGGTTTTAATGAGGCAACAATTTTTGATCATGTAAGATCACAGAAAAGTATAGATCATAAATCTATATAAATTTTATATTATATAAATATTATGATGAGCGAGAAGGAGTGTTGAGATCATTAAATGTCGCCGACGCTCTCCATAATATTTACTATAGACTACAGTAATTACCATAGCTACAGTATTTAGAGTCTAGTGGAGAAGTATTGTTCATCCTCTTGTCTTCTCTCTTCTTGTATACGAGACACAACCAGATCAATAGAATTGTGTGTGTGAAGCTCTCTCTCCTTAGAAACCCTCTTGTGTATATGACTTACTATTACTCTTGTGTCTTTCTAAACATTCTCAACAGTTTTGGTGCTTGTATACCAATGTGTAGCAAAAAATTAATAAATTCCAAAAAAATTCTTTATTTATTTTCCCTTTTTTCCAAAAATATTAATTTTAAAATAAAATAAAAATCATAATTTTAAGTTAAATAATTCAAAACATATTGTTCTCCATTTTAGCGGGCTGGAGAGGGAGGAAGGGGGTAAGGCCGACGGATCCGGCACTGAACCCGATGCCCGTTGTCCCGCGTTGGAAGGCGACGTTCTGCCTTACACACCTAAACCCGTGAACATGAACTCACGTCTTACTGGTTCGTCCGTCCTCGTTCTGTCTTTCCCCTTCGTCCCCATCTTTCCGTGCTCCTCCCCCCCCAATCCTCGTCGCTCGTCCGTCCGTCCGTCCGTCCTGGAGGTGCTTCTGTCCATCTCCTCCATCTTCGTCGATGTCAACAGTCGTCATGCTAAGCAAGGCTTCTCACATTCCGCCCCGCTCGCATCGACCAGGGTTTAAGTTTTTTTTGTTCTTTTTTAATTTTTTGTTTTGAGATATGTCCATTGAAAAAGTTTTTTTTCACCACTTTAGTTTCCCTATTTAGGTTTAGGATTTTCCTGCTTCATGCTCCCTCAACTTGGCCTTAGTTGAGGGACCTTAGTTGTCTCTGGTTCTGCTTTCGCTGTTTTGTTATCTGCAATGCTCCACGGCGTCCTTATCCTCTTGCTGTGTAATAGGATTCCGCTGACAGATTGTGTTCGTGTGCGGTTCTGAACTCTACTGCCATGATCTTCTGAAGTTGACATTACGAGGCATCCTTTGTTTGTGGAAAATTTCAGGAGATTTTACTAGATTGTGTTGGAAACAGCTTGACGAGGCGCATTCAGCGGTCGAGATAGTAGCGAGTTTTTGAGAAGGTTTTCTGTCTTGGATGTGGTAGTGAATTTTTTTGTGGATTTAGAGTAGTTAAATGGCGATTTCCGTGGAGGCTGCAGCACGGACATTGACGAGTGTGCAGCAATTGCAGCAAACGCTACCACCCCCGTCATCTCAGTTGCTCGCCCTATCTCCGGCCGTCCGCGCTCGGTCTCACAGGTATAATCCACCAGGGTTCGCTATTGTGGTCACTTCAAGCAACTATCAATAGTGCCTCAATGGTTATATCAGCCAGTACTACAATTTGTAGTAGAGTCTCCGAATCACACTATGTAATGGCCGTCCTATTGTTTGTATCACCTAACGCTGAATCTTAGTGCTTTTCAAAGTTGGAAAATACAATGAACCTATGCGCCTCTGTTGTTTTGATATTCGAAAAATCTTATTAGGACTGAATGCAGTTCCGAGTTTTTAGATAGTGTGCTCATTCAGGATGTTTAGGGCATTAATGAAAAAATGAATGATCATAGCATAGACAATGGATGAGATTGTGCTTTCAAATTAGTAACATATTGGCTCAATCATCCGCTCTAAATTAGGTGCTTTCTACCATTTCGAAAATTTGATTACCTCATGTAAATACAATATGACAAGCCTTTCCGTCAGTGGAACCGGTTTATCGAGAGTCTTTATTTGGTCTTCCGCGTTCATTCAATGTAGTTTTAACAGAAACTTCAGGAACAATTGCGGCGAATGACTTTATTGGTCACTTCCCATGAAATCTGTGTGATTCTGTTTTCTATGTTTGAGCATCCGGGGTGTTCCAAGATAGGCGCTCGTTTCTCTTACATATTTATCCTCAAAATCGTAGTAATTATTCCAGCTGACCTATGTGATGTAATGATTTTTCAAAAGTAATTCACTCTTAGAGTGAAATTGGCTTGATGCCTACCTATTCACTGTACTTGAAGTGGATTGACATGCAGGATTCGCCATGGCTTGGTTTGTGGCTACTCCTCTAGAACATTTTCTGCTTCAGAAATATCCTCTTCCATGGCTCGACCAATGCGAACGCATCACGCCGATTCTGTAAGATTTTCCACATTTAACTTCACATTACATTGATTTGAGAGAGAGAGAGAGAGAGAGAGAGAGAGAGAGAGAGAGAGAGAGAGAGAGCGAGAGAGAGAGAGATTGAGAGATCGTCGGAACTATGAACGTCCTGGTCGAATTTCTATTGTTTTTGGGTAAGTAATAGTGACGAGGCTTAATTTTGTAGTAGTTCCTTTTCTTCATATAATTCTCTGTTACGTTGTAAACTGTGATTCAGCTGAAGAATAGCAGCAGCAGCAAGATTTTGACATCTTTGCAGAGTTGCACACCATTCAACGGACACTTGCAGAGCCAAAGGGCAGGACAAAGAAAAAACCATTCAAATTTGGGTGTCAGAGCTGGTTCTAGGAGGGGAATTGATGCAGATGAAGGCCAAGCTCTCGCTATTCCTTTTTTGGGAAAATTAAAAATTCCTAGCTTTTCTGAAGTTGAGCAGAATCTTTCTCAAGTAACTCCTATACAGGCTGCGAAATGGGTGTCAATTGTAGCGGTTGCCTATGCAATTTTCTCCAAAGTTACATGTTTAACCGTATTTAATCCCAATTTCTGGATGTACGCGAGTTGGCTTGGTGTGGTGTGGCCGTTGCCTGCAGCAGTCACTTTGGGAATATGGTCAGTATTTGCAGCAACAAGACAAGCGAAGTCAGGAACCAAGGAGGGAGAGCAAATCTTCATTTTAGGTGGAGCCTTAGTTTGGTTGGTTCTGGTACCTCTTGCCCATGCACACGGGTTCGTAGATGGATGGCCTATGCTTCTCTTTACACTATATTACTTCTTCTTCAACATAAGCGGTTTTGTCAGGGATAGAATGTATGGAACTCTCAGCACTATACCTGAAGATAAGAAGTGGCGAAGCAGTCCTCATCAGGCAATTCAAATTGCGTTCGTGATGGCCATTGTTGGGGGTCACTGGGCAGCAGCTTTCGAGGCTCCGTTTCTGGCACATACGTGGAACTTGGCGTGGCAATCTAAGCTGGCAGCGGCTTTTCTTGGACTTGCGGTGGTGGTTAACTGGAATTCAATTTATTTCCTAGGAAAATACTCCGACCGATTAGTAAACCCGAAGACTGTCGTGATGTTTGGGCCTTACAGATGGGTGCGTCACCCCATGTATGCGAGCTATATGCTCCTGTGTGCTGGCTATTGCCTTGCACTGCGGTCATACTTTAGTCTCCTTTTCCTTGTTATTTCGTGCATTGCTTACTACGACCAGCGGACTAAGCTGGAAGAGAAGAACTTGGTAGAAGAGTTTGGAACAGCGTATACATCTTATAGGGAGAAAACGAAGTATAAATTTTTGCCTTGGTTATACTGAATACAAACTTGTGATTCAACAAGCACACATTCAGAATCGTGGTATTCTATTCCACTTCATTCCCCCCAAATCATCCAGTTTCTAATCTTCAAAACTCTCTGTGCCACTTAATTTTGCTTATAACTGTAAGTTTTACTTGAGGTGAGAACTTGCTTTCTCTGTCGATGTGCAATCCAACTTGTGCATATTGAAACCAATAGTGTGCAGCAATACATGTCTGTCGAAAGGTTTGTTAAAAAAATTTAACGCTTGAGTCAGGCCCTACGCGCTGCATTTCGTATTCATGCCTGGGAAGAAGCCCTTCACTGGGACCTTCTGTCACCTCAGACTCCTCAGTAAGTGACGCTTCTTCATACTCACCTGGTCTATCATGGTTTTAACCGGATGTTTGTCCACCGTTCAAATAATCAATGGTATGCAAAGATTGAGAACGACAAACTGCAGAATTTGCTGGTATCACTGGAAAACCAAAAGAAAACCAAAAGAATGTTGGGGGCTCTTCACATGAGGATGGGCAATGCACCAACCCCCGGCGGCCATTCATGCTTGGCTAGTCCGCAAATCTGCTTCAGAGACTGGCAACTGGTGACCACGCGCTACCATTTTCCCAATCCTCGTAAATTACATCGCGATTACATTCCCCCACCAGTTTAGATTAGTTTAACGACGATGGTGAGCAGAAGAGAATATCTTGCACGGCGTTCACCATTGGATTACCTCCAACTGAAACCCTGCTGCCACGCAAGCTCACCGACGAATTTAAAAATTCTTAGTGAGCACTAATGCCGACTAATTGCTATACGTCAAGATCAGTGCGCTCGAAGCCATGAGTTTTTAACAATCGTTTAACACAAGTAGGGAGAACAGACAATCCAGAGTCTCGGGGTTAAAGATGTGACTAATAAATCTCGTGTAGGTGGCGGAGGGAGATCTACAGACACTCGACTAGTCCGGGCCCGCAACAAAGTCTGATCTATTAGATCTCGATCAGGTGTGCTTTCTCAACATGAATTTATGTTGAGAATTCAACTTTTCCTTCTTATCTTCTTCTCTTTTTATTTTTTGTTTATTTTTTGTTTTTATTTTTTTGACACAAAACGGTGAATATCTGGTGGTTTAGATTTCCTTTCCATCTTTCACTCCCCCAGTGGAACGAAGCTACAAATTTGTCGGGACCGTGCACGTAACAAAAAAAAAAAAAAAAAAAAAAAATGTAATTAAAATGTTAATAATAATAATAATAATAATAAGCTTTATAATTCTGATACGCGCTGCTTGACAACCCATATTTTTCCAACAACGTATGACTCTGAACAGGAAGGGTGTTCCACATGTCTCTGGTCACTTCGTAAACTGGAATTGAGATCCATCCTCATCTTTGCAAGTGGGGCATTATTTACATGTAAAATAATTAATGGTTTGCCGTCGTCGATAGGAGTCTCCACGTCGGGTTGGTTTGATCCAAACCCACGTGTCGGAGAATTTCTGTCGTATGGTCAACATAGACTGATGGTCCATCAGTGTGGCTCATGAAATCCCTCACCGGCATTGGCGACTCTGTCGATTAAAAGAATAGTTCGATACGACATCTAGACTGCGGATCACCCAACTGTCAATCTGCTCGTCTGAAAGGTTGCTCATCCGATCCACAAGCAGCCCATGACTTTCTAGTGCGACAGCAGCAGTTGGAACGACAGTCGCAAACACGGAATGACAAGTTTGAACTGGAAAGGAATGAATTCTTCAAGGAATGATGAAACAGTGCACTATGATCCAGAATATGCAACGACAATTATTGATTTGATGGTACTGTGACTGAAAGAGTGTTCAACGCTTTCCTGGGGGTGGTTGAGCAATATTGTTTCGGGGACGGAGGAGAATTACCTTTTCTTTTTCTTTTAACTTGAGGAGGAGGGGAAGACATAGGATGTCATGGATGATTTTGACTCGCTCACCAGGAAAACTTCTGCCAAATGGTAGAGCAACAATTTGAGAAGCAAGTATCGGTTAAAGAACTCACCCATGAACAGGATTGGGGGCGGGAACGTGGAATGGAAACTGCTTCATGAATTCATTCCGATCCATTACCTCGAGTGGAGATGAGGTATAAATGAAGCTCAAATGCAGAGGCAAACACGGCAAATTGAGCGTCTCAACTGTCTCTTGTAAATCTTGGATGAGCCTTGAATTGGACCAAAGCACTCGAAAGGCAATTTCTTGCTTGGGTTTCTAGATCGTGTTGTAAGTGTGTTCCATCAGTACTGCACCCGAAGTTTGAGTGTTCGTTGCAATTCTCAGTGCCTGAGATCGATAGCTCAGCAAGTCGTGCAAGATGCCTGAGAGATCGGCAGCCTCCAGTTATGATGTTGGAGCTCAAAGGTTTCAAAGGTCTGTGCCGAAAATTGGCGCCGAGCCAGATCTTGCGGGACCCTGGTCCATGGTGAATCAGAGCAACTCCAAACGCAAAGCGGTGTCGGAAATGTTTATATTGCCAGAGCACATGCGCCCAACAGTGACTCACAACGACTATACCGACTTGGAAATTCCTGTGATCGACGTGTCGGCGTTGTTTGATCCTCCTCAACATGACGAGAAAGTCATGGAGGGCCTCGTAGCACAAGTGAGAGATGCCTGTTTGCATTGGGGGTTCTTCCAAATTGTGAACCACGGCATCCCCGAGGAGCTTCTCGAGAGGTTTCATGGCCAGGGGAAGCAGTTCTTCGCCCTCCCATTTGCGGAGAAGATGAAAGTGGCCAGGCAGCAGGGGCAGTACACGGGGTATGGGCATGCAACTGTGAAGAAGGGCGACGTGCGCCCCTGGTCGGAAGGTTTCTACTTCGCCAATGATGGGTCCACAGCTGAATTCGCCAAAAAACTTTGGCCTGAAGATACCAACGATGACTTTCTGTACGTGCATGGGTTCTTTCAATTTTAATCTCCAGTTCTTGGAATTTATTATCGAACGTCAGTAGGAGGGGCGAGTGGCCTAACATATGTATGTGTGGCTCGCTGGTTACAGTAATTCCTACAGCGAGTACAATGAAAAGGTGCAGGGGCTTTCCGAGTGTTTGATGCGCATCATCGTGGATGGCTTGGATGTCGACCCCGCCTATTTTGAGACATTCTCCAAGCATGCAGGCGGACTCCTACGGTGGAATTTCTACCCTGCATGCCCTGAGCCACAGAAGACCCTGGGCCTAAAGCCGCACACGGATTTCAACCTCTTAACAGTCCTCCATCAAGGCGATGTGGGCGGCCTGCAGATTGAGAAAGACGGCAAGTGGATCCCTGTCAGACCTCGACCCGGGGCATTGGCAGTGAACATCGGCGACACTCTTCAGGTTAGAAGTTCCTCCAGCCTCAATTCTTTTTCAGTCGCTGTATTGAGAACTGAAAACCCCTTAGCCCACGGACGTCTGTCACTTTCCAGATACCATCGTACCCTCTTAAGATAGTGTACCGTAAGATTTACAACACCGCAACCAATGGTGCTCGCTTTCTGGAACGGAATAGGGTCTGTCAATCCGGCTCCAACCGTAGAATACATGATTCTGGTGCAGATTTTGACGTACTTTTACACCGCAACCGTTGACATCGTTGATCTAGTTCTGATATTGCATCTGGAATGTTTCGATCTATCCTGACAGGTTCTGACAAACGGGAAATACAAGAGCGTCCCGCACCAAGCAGTCGTGAACGCGACTCAGTCTCGCATTTCTTCGGCCTACTTCTACGAGGCGCTACCAAGCACAGTGATTGTCCCCCACCCGGACCTCGTGGACGAGAACAACCCCCTCCAGTATGAGCCTTTCACCGGCGAGGCTTACAGGGTATACAAACAGACGCAGTTTCTCAACACACTGGAGCACTTCGTCCGGAAAAAACCAGACGCTGAATGAGAATTATCAGTCGCCAGCACCACGTGTTCTGGATCAGCTCACACTCTCCTGGCAATCCGAGATCTACACGACACACGTCTCCGGTGGTGACGTGGTTGAATTCAGCCTCCGATTTTGCATGCAAGCGGTTGTCGACGGTGGTCGAAGGTCCATTTGCCCTAAACCCTAAACCTGGTCCAACGAGCGTAGTAATTTGAACTTGTGCAATAATCAACTAGAAAATCAGCGTGGCTCAGCTGGCACTTATTATACTTAATACTTAGTACTGAGCGATGACTACTTACAGAAGCAGCGCCGAGTGCGTGAATACACACAACGATAGATCAGAAATAGAACAGTTAGTATCTCAACAGTCAGCCTATACGTGTCGACGGTGCAATATTTTCCTTTCTTTTTTCTTATTTTTTCAGCAGAAGATAATCCCAATCCTCTGGTTCGATGCAATGCAAATACAAATGCTTAACCATTACCTCACTTTCGCACCTTTGGCGGACCACAGTTCCTTGGACTTAGCCACATGTCTCCCCTCAAATTGCTGCGTTTTGTTTTAAAACTATCAACGGGTGGCGAAGATGTTCAAAAATCTGTAGATATATAACTATGTATATAGATATATATATATATATATACATTTCATGCTGAAATCCGCTTCAACAGGCAAAGTGCCGAATCTATTCCTAGCGTGTGAATCTATATAGCTATCATCACTAGTTCTAATGGCTTGAGAATTCCTTCAGGAATGAGGTCTGTGAAGTATCGATCCAGTGATATTGTCCAGTCATGATGCAACTGGAGGCGGAATTCGGACCCAGTTGGACGAAACGTGCTGGTTCGTTGGCTATTACGACCAGGACCAGACTTCGTTAGACGAAATATGCGAGTTCGTTGGCGATGGGGACTGAGAAGGATTCGAATGCAACGAAAACCATCAATAATCATTAGAAAAATGCAGTCAATGTTGAATTTGTAAGATAGAGGAAAAAATACCTGTTTATTTTATTTTATTTATTGAAAATTAAATGCAAGTTTAAATGAGACGAAGAAACTAAACATTTAATGTAGCAAATGGTGACATGATATGTCCTCTTATATATATATATATATATATATATATAATATTATACAATTTGGTTATAGATTGTAGGAGTTTTTGCCACACACTAGAGGTGTATTTTTATTTTATTTTATTTTAAGGGATTGATTAGAGTGGGTATGGATGTGATGCTAATTGATACAACATGTAGTTGGATTGACTCCTCCAAGTTTTTTATTACTTGTTTCTTGTAATATTATTAGTTATTAAACTATGCACATATTCAATGTTGGACCATCCAAGTAAAAAACCTCCAACTGACCCTATTATTCTTCATTTATTTATTGGATAAATTACAATGTGCTCGATTATTATGTAGCAGCTAACTAATTACATTGTGTTTGCAGTTAACATAATATGCAATATTAATTTCTAGTTTTTGTTTTTAAATCAGTAAAATAAAATTTCATGATAGTGTATGTAAATGTTGATGCATAGCATAGACAAAAATCATGCTAATAATAAAAGTGTGTGTGTGTTTATATGTATATATATATATATATATATAAAGGTAAAACCTTCATGTTGGTAAATTTGGTAGATGGAATACATTAAGTTAGATTTATGTTTTCATCAAAACCCAATATATTTCATCTAAAAGATGCAAGAATGTAAAATTAAATTAAAAATCTGTTATCTTGCAGTTTGTTTATTAAATTAAATAATGTTTTCACTTTATACCTTTTCTTTTCCTTGTATTTCATACTAACTTGTGAGGTTTTTAAATAATTATTTTCATTTAAATGATTTTTTAGTCAACTTGGTCAGAATGTTCTGTTTTAAATTATTAAAATGAGTAATTTAATATAACATTTAACATATTTTAATTTAATATAACCTTTAACATATTTTTCATGTAGTATACTTTATATACTACTATATTTTCTTTAATTATATATACTACTTTAAAAATACAAGTTCATGAAAAACTGAACAAGTTGTAAGGAACTCCAATTGCCTCTACAAATGTAATGATTCGCTCATACGGAGCTCAAAAGCCAGAAACATAAACGTAGATGAATACATACGGTCAATCTTACATATATGCCGCATACACAAAGAGAGGGACACGTCAGAGGGGGGTGGGCATGTGGGGCAATGCCAGGTCGGATAACGGAATTGAGCGATCATTGCAGAATTGACCAGCGACAGTCTGTGCGTTGCAGAACTGCCCATTCATTGACCGTCTCCGCGAGGGCAGGCCGGGCTGGGCTTGTCTCTTGCCCAGCTTTTTCCAGAGCATGCTTTGGACTGTGTGTGAGAGAGAGAGAGAGAGCTTCAGGGGAGCTTCATACGGACCTCAATTTGCGACCCTGTTCTTATATATATATTTGCTGAATGTGCATAATGAAGGAATCTGCAAATGTGAAATTAGTGTCACATTTCCACTCTCGCAGTTTGGGTTTTTTTGGAATTTTTAGGGATTTTTGGGGTTCATGTACGATATGTCCAAACAATTCAGCTATTGGCTAAAAGTAGTCAATACATTATTCCAAGCGCGATACTGTTAATGATACAAATGAAAGGGTGCATCACATGTAGTTAAATATACATCGTAAAGGCTCGTGGTCAATACGACCTTGAAGCAAATACAACATAGAAAATTTATGAAAAGAAAAAGAAGTTTGAAAAGCGGGGAGAAAAACCGATTTCACACTGGCAGCAGAGTTGGCTGGGAGTGAGTGAGTAAGAGAGTGAGTGAGTGTAGGTGTGGGGTATGTGTGTGTGTGTGTATGGATGTATTTTCATGTATCAGTGTTGGTGAAGGGTTTCGGCATTTTCGGTTACATTCCCTGAAATAAGAATATCTTTTGGCGAAAGGTCCCACCTCTGCTCTTTTAAGGCAGACGGAGGTTGCAGCGAACCCGGGTTGTGTGTCTGCGTGGGCGCTCTTATGTGTGTCCTCGGTTTTGTGTAAGAAACAGAAGAAGAAGCTGACGAAGAAGAAGAAGAGGAGGAACAACAACAACAACAGAGACTTGGTGTGGGAAGAGAGAGGTTGATGGTCGTTGCCTGTATTGATGATGCTGTAGTGTCACGCGTGTGGGTGCCAAGTTATGTTACTCAAGGTGTCTGCTGCTGCCTCTTGAGCGCCAGCATCGCCTCCTCCCTCTCTCTCTTGCTCTCTTTCTCCTTATTTTTCTCCTCCTCCTCCTCCGTCGAGGTTGTTTCGTAGGTTTCCCATTTCTATCTCCCATCGCGGAGGTTTGCGGCTGTCCGAGCGTGTGCGTTTGCAGCGCGTAGAGCTACCGGAGTTGAGAAGAGTTTCGTGAAGGTTGGCCGGTGTTCGATTGTAATGAGATTGGATGGGTAGAGGGGGGCATGGGATCTGAGTGTGTGCGATGGCCAGCTGCGGCACAGGTTTCGATGGCGCAGTGGGCAGCAATCCGCAGGGAATTGGAAGAGGGCATCTTGGGAGAGAGCGGAGCGCTCTGGGATTGATTCAGACGCAGTCGCGGTGGAATTCTTCGTAATCAGGCGTTTCCTCCATTTCGGCGGGAGTACAAATTTTCTTTTTATTTTCCTTTTTATTTGTTTTTTTCTCTTTATGTTTATTTTTATATCTCATTTCTCGGAATTTTGCGCAAGGGTGATGAGTTCGGGGTATAGGTTAGCGAGTTAGTGATTTTCAGGGTTTGATCTTGTGGGTTGCTCCTCGTCGTCTTCCTCCGGCTGGCTATTGCTCTGCGGGGGAAACGCTGCATTTACTTGTTAGATTATGAATAACCGCAGGGTTAGGTCATGGGGTAAAGGCCTCTCGCAAGCGCCACCCTACCTCGAGGTTTTGCGTGTGGCATCGTGGTGACGGATGGAATATTGGCCAATGCTAGAATAGGGCATGGCAGAAACAATGGCGTGGTTGCTAAGCACGAACGCACGGGGTAGGAAATTGTAGGAAAATTATAGTGGTTGTAGAATAGCCCTTCGGTGGAAAGTTATGGCCAGTCACGAGGACAGCGATTTGTCGGTCAAGGCGCTGCACAAGCGCTACGAAGGGCTGGTGACGGTGAGGAGCAAAGCTATCAAGGGCAAGGGCGCGTGGTATTGGAGCCATCTCCTCCCTTTGTTGGTGCAGCATCCCGACACCGGGCTGCCCAAAGCTGTCAAGCTGCGATGCTCCCTGTGCAATGCCATGTTCTCCGCTTCCAATCCCTCCCGCACTGCCTCGGAGCATCTGAAGCGTGGGACGTGCCCCAATTTCAATGGAATGGTGCCGAAGCCGCTGGCGTCTCAGCCTGGCCCCAAACCTGCAGGAACTCCCGGTACCACCACTCCCCGGAAACGTAACGCTCCGGCGTCGTCCCTGTCAGATGACTACGCACCCTGCACTGAGCTCGTGGTCCACACCCCCCTGATGCTGTCCGGGGGCAAAGAGGATCTGGACGCGCTGGCCTTGCTGGAGGACAGTGTGAAGAAGCTCAAGAGCCCGGGTATGAAGACGGGAGGATCTCAGGGCCTACCTGGGGGACCGAACAAAGCCCAGGCAGAAGCCGCGCTCAACCTTCTGGCGGAGTGGTTGTACGAGTCGTGCGGCACGGTCTCATTTTCTTGTGTGGAGCATCCCAAGTTCAAAGCATTTTTGAGCCAGCTTGGGTTGCCGCCCGTGAGCAGGCGATACCTGGCGGGGGCGAAATTGGATGCCAAATTCGAGGAGGTGAAGCAGGATTCCGAGCTCAAGCTGCGAGAGGCCATGTTCTTCCAGCTCTCCTCTGACGGGTGGAAGAAGAAAAGCATCGGCATGGGGGAGAGCCTGATCAACATCACCTTGAATTTGCCGAATGGGAGCACGCTGTTTCGCAGCGTGGTCAATATAAACTCTGGCCCCGTGTCTGTGAAGCTCGTCGAAGACACGTTAGCCGAGGCTGTGATGTCCATCTGCGGGCCAGCTCCGGAACGGTGCGTGGGAATCGTTGCGGATGCTGACAAATATACGTTGAAAGCGCTGCAAGGGCTGGAGTATCGGTTCCCGGGCACGGTAAACCTGTCGTGCCAGGCGCAGGGGTTCAGCAATCTGTTGAAAGACTTCAACAAACACCTATTGTTATTTAGGTCGGTAAGGAGCGAGTGTATGAAGGTGTCAGCGTTCTTTAACAATCAACCGCAAGCTCGAATGTACCTCCAAAAATACCAACGTCAGGTAAACGGTGCCGTTCTCTAAGTTCGTTCTCTGGCCTCTGGTGAATGTTCAGTTGAAGTTTTGTGTTTGCGTTTAGGTTGTTTGATGATGGAGTAACATTGGGTGGGATGGTTCAGGAATATGATAGTGTGAAATTGTTACGGACGCCCCCTGACCCCCAGTTCGCGGATCCTCACTACGCCTATGTGCTGATAATGCTCGACGACATTGTGGCATCTGCACGCGCGCTGCAGCACACGGTGATCGACGACCAGTTCTGCCTGCACTTTCAAGACGATCAGATGGGGCGTGATGTGACAGACGTGGTCGCCAGTATGCGGTACTGGCAAGATTTAGAAGCGGTGCAGGAATTGGTAAAGGTTGTGAAAGTGATGGTGAATGGCATAGAACAGGATCGACCGCTGGTTAGCCAGTGTTTGCCGCTGTGGGACGAGCTACGCAGCAAAGTGAAGGAGTGGTGTGTTCAATATGACAAGGACGAGGCTCCTATCCACGAAATCATCGAGAAACGGTTCAACAAGAACTACCACCCAGCGTGGGCAGCCTCGTTCATCCTCGACCCTTTGTATCTCCTTCGGGATTCAAGTGGTAAGTACTTGCCGCCCTTTAGATGCCTTACTGCCGAGCAGGAAAAAGACGTGGATCGGCTGATAACGCGCCTGGTTGCGCGAGAGGAAGCGCACATTGCCTTGATGGAACTCATGAAATGGCGCGCTGAGGGGCTTGATCCTCTCTACGCCCAAGCTGTCCAGGTGAAAGAGCGAGACCCCTTAACTGGCCGGATGCGGCCCGTTAATCCTCAATCCCGGCGCCTGGTGTGGGAGACGTGTCTCAGTGAATTCAAATCTTTGGGTAAAGTAGCCGTCCGACTGATTTTCCTGCACGCCACGAGCTGCGGGCTTAAGTGCAACTGGTCGCTGTGGCGGTGGGCTTACCGAAACGGAAACTCGCGACAGGCAGTGGAGAAAGCCGAGAAGATGATCTTCATAGCGTCTCATGCGAAGCTGGAGCGCAGGGATTACTCCAACGAAGAGGAGAAAGATGCTGAGCTCTTCATGAATGACAATGGCTCTGGGGAAGACATCGCAGACGAAGTTTTCTTGAACGCACCTTTGTAACATTGGCAAGCAAGGCTTTGCAATTCCCTTGGACACACCAAGACACAGAATCCATTAACCTAGGCTTCACAGCCCGCCGCTTCATTTTTCGTTGAATGCTGTGTCCGATTGTGTGTACATCTTTAGCTGTTCATCATCTGACTGGGGAAGTCTACAGGGATACAGTATCGATCGAGAGGGGTGATTGAGCTGTGTATGGTTGACGGCTCCTTCACAAGAGAGAAGTGGGGTTGTTGCGCTTCCAGCGTCCTCTTTGAGGCATCTGATCATCCGGCGTAGTACACGGGGCATGGCTTAGGGTTGAAATTCAAGTCATTTGCCCCATCCAGCAGCCTTGGAGACAGGCTGAGACAGACACAGACAGACGCTGGTAAAGGTTTTAGTTGTTTTATGGTATGGTCATGTCATGTCAGGTTGGTTCGTTGGTTGGTTGGTTGGTTGGTTGGTTTTTTTTTTTTTTTTAATATATATTTAATTTTTTCCCGCCAACCTTGTTGGTTGCAAGCTTACGTACAGATGAGCTAGCTTATACAGTGGTTTGTCACACCTGGGCGCATTTAATCTGTCGTCACAGAATTGATGCTGTAATTTTGCCCCAATTTTGCTTCTTATTACATTTTGGCTGGAAACCATTCTCTCATCGTTCTCACGCCTCGTTTCCCTCTCTCAAGCTCAACTTTCTCTGCCCCCCGACCTCCCCCTCCTCCCTCTTGCTTTTCCTCTTTCTTTCTTTCTCCCCCTTCTCTTTTCTTTATACCTTCTTTTTTTTTTTTTTTTTTTTTTTTTTGTTTTTTCTTACAGCTGTTGCTGGTAGCTTCATCGCTCATGTGATGCTATCACATTTTTCTGGCTGTGTACTTCTCTGACAGCGTTGTGATTGGAGGTTGAAAGAGACGGTGAACAGAGGTGGATAGAACATCTCACACAGCTTGGCATAGAGGGTAAATTGTGGAGATTTGCCAGAAGTGTCAGGGGTATTTCCTATACCGAGTTGATATAAAAAGTTGAGCATTCAGTGCTTTTAGATTTCAGACTCCAGCATATTGATTGCTTGCTTCGACTTCATGGATGGAGATGTATGCAAATAGAATGTATAACAGATTGTGGGTGTATGGAGATGTATGTTAATAGACTGGGTGGAACTGGCAAATAGCATTCAATTGTAACACATTTTAGGCTGCACTCAATCCATGCACTTCCATCAAAGAACCCTGGAGTGAGTTTGTACCAACCTTACCAACTGCTCTTGTGAATCTTACGCTCAATTAGCACCCCGCAAGCACATCGAATCTTGACTCTGAAGACAGCATACTGTACTCCTCCCGAAGCAATCCCGTGTTTCATGAGCTCCCACAAGAAGCCGCAGAATGTTGCCAAAGCTGAACCGAATAATTCTATTCCAGAAATTTCTTCCATTCAACCCACGGAACTCTACAGTTTATTGTAAAGTTCGGCAAGCGTCGGGCCTCGCCGCTTTATCTGACACTACTGGGTAATTGGGACAAAACCTGGTAGGCGAGGAATGGGCAAGGACCCTGAAACACTTGATGGTGGATTCGGCAAAGTCAAGTCAAATGTAGACCCCCCCCCCCCCCCCCCCCCCCCCTCTATTCAGCCTTTGAGCATTTATGTAAACCTCTCTGGCCAGGGCTGGCGCACAATCAATACAAACGGCCAGAAATTGACTAACCGCATAGGCTCAAAACACTAGCGTGCACAATGGTCCAGGGAGGAAATCATAGACGAACCCGGGAAGATCCCTTGGTTGTAATTAAATGTCAGCCTGCAAGTGTAACCCCAATCCTATTGGCCATGAAGATTTTGACATGGACGGAATTCTTCTCGGAAACCGAATCCAGTTTTTTCTTCAGTGTACAGTTTTCGAATTTTGAATGGATAAAACAGGATATTCCATCGACTTTGATGCTGAACAACCCCAGATGATATACCCTTGGACGTTGGCTCCGTGCTCATGGAAACCAACACTGTCTTTAAACCATGTATTTTCACGTCAACTGTCTCTCGGTACTTGCATCTTAGGATTCCCTTCGGCTGACTGGGTCAAAGCTACTACTACCAGATCTTCTGGCACACAGATCTGGAGTTTCCCAATGGGAGAGGGCAGGCAGCTCTACCCCACACCACACACCATTTGAGCCTCTCTCTCTCTCACTCTCTCACTGTTGCTGCTGAAGGGTGCCGTCCCGGCATCCTAAGCTAGGACTGATCTGATCAAAGTCATGGCTCTGGGTCTGGATCTCTGCAGGTGGGCTTTGAATCCCATCCCATCCCATCCCAAGCCAAGCAAAGCAGAATCCTCGGTCACCCACATCCCACACACACACACACTCACTCACACAGCCCACCGAAGCTCAGTTCCAGTTCCAGTTACTTGCTGGGTATTAGGGTTGGGGAGGGGGGGTGTTCAGATCCAGGTCATGAATCTTTTGCCTTCAAACCTCTGCAGCCAGCTGATTATTTGTGCAGGGCTTAGGGGGCAGATGGTTGTGTGAACTCATGTGGGTGGCTGGCTGCATGTTTGATGAGCATTTGTGGGAGTATGCTGTGACGGAAGTGTCTGAATTTTGGCGATGTTTTTCCTCTTTGTGTATTTTGTCAGCATTTGACTGCAATGTCAACTCAATTTTTTTTTTTTTTTTTTGTAATTTAGATTTATATTTGTGTTAAATTCGCCACATTAATATGGTTTCTAGGAAGTCATAGGAAGATCTGTCACATTGATTTTAAAAAGTGAGAGTCAACAACTTACCATATAGTTTGTTATCCTTGTTCCTAAGCACACATAAATAGACCTTCATATTACAATTATTTATATAACTTCTTTATGTAAACCTTTCCCATTTGTTGCATGAATAGTTAGGCTACAATTTAGGACTCCATATTGGCATGTAATTATTATTATTATTTTTAAATTAATTTTATTTAATTTCTATAATATCTTTTGTTGTCTAAAAACTATTCCACATGCATAGATTATTATTTTTTGTATTAAAATTGGCCACATTAGTATGGTTTTTTTTTTAGAACTATTCTTTTAAAACTACATCTATATTTTTAACAAAGTTCAAAATCTAATAGTAAGATCTTTTTCCATTTCAATGTAACTAAGTTTCAAGTTAGATGCAAAGATTTCAAGAGTTTTTTATTTCTGTTTTTTTTGTACAAGACACCATATGTTTTTAAGTTAATATTTGTAGGCAAAAGGATTCATGTAGCAATTTTTTTTAGGATTTTAGATTATATATATATATATATATATATATATAGAATGATTATCATTATTATTATAATTATTTGGATGTATTTCTTATTTAAAAAAATATGAATTACAAAGAACCAAGAAATCAATACATTCTTGTATTACTAGAAAAGAGTAGATAATCACTCAAAATAATATAATATTAGAACTAGAATGGCTATTATTAAAGACAAAAAAAATTAGAGATTCTTAAAATAAGACTTAAAAAAAGAAAGAAGTTGGCAAGAGTGAGAAAGGCCTCACTCTTGCCTTTAGATATACTATATAACTAAGAGCTATATAGCAACATTCTATAGGACTTGCAACACGTGTATGACTTACAAGACAAGTTTCTTTCATATGCCCTATGTGGCCAACTTGTATTACAAGTCACCAACATGTGGCCAACTTGGTGGCTAAGTTTTCAACCTACCAATCACCTACAAACACGTATAAAGTCAAATCCATATCTATAAAGCTTCTAAGAAGCTTATCTACAAGTTATTATTAAATTTACTTACTTCTATTTATTTCTACATAATTCCTTAAATCAAGATAAATATGTATGTTTGTGTCACCTTCCATGATTATTTGAATTATCTCCTTTCTGTTTGGTTGTACTTTTATATCTACAAAATATCATTGATTTTTAAAAGAAAATTTTATTTCTTTTTATTCCAACACAAATCTTGTCATTAGGCCCTTATATATACATCATATTGGACTAATATCTATGATATTTATTTTTTATTTTTAAATTAATAAAATAGGATTGATATTTTTTAATACTATAAAAAAATATTATCCTCTATTACATTATATATTTCTATCCAATCTTCAAGTTTATTTGTATTACATCAATTTTATTTTTTGGATGCAATAGTGTTAAATAATTCTGAAAGTCATACATATTTAAGCCAAATTTTAATCTAATTATTTCTAAAGTCATAACAACTTATTTTTAAAGATTAAAGAATCAAATTTTAAAGAATCAAATTGATTCTTTAAATTTTATATATGTATACTTTATTAAATATGTTTAATTTCACATTTGGGACAATTTTTATAAACTCTAAATTTCACATTATATATTGGTTCCATTATTCATTACAAAAACCTAAAATTTAAATTCATAGGCATGAGGCTCCAATTATTTAATATTTTTTTTATTTAATTATAGTTATTAGGACTAAAAAATTATCAATAATATAGATCAAAAAAATAAAATTACTTTTGTAGCTGATTTCTATGTATATTTGGGTTTTCTAATATAAATTTTAATTTATTAATTTATATTTTTTTGTTTTTTATTTTTTATTCTAAATTCATTTTGATTTTATTTTTGAAACTCCCTAAAGAAATGAATTTTTACCAGATAGGGACATTATTTTAAAAATTTGATTATAAAGAACAAGATTATTAAAGAGACAATATTTTTAGAACTCTTTTACAAAAATATTTAGATAGATATTTTTTTTTTATTTATAGTAATTTTAATATACAATTATGATTCAAAGAAGGAGAATAGTAGAAATTAGGTGATAGATTTCAAAAATAGCAATAGGAGCAATACAATAAAGAGTAATAAGAAGAATATCCTTGTATGTGACGATTTTGTTTGTTGTTGCAATTATGGCCTATAACACTATTATCCCTTCTTTTTATTTAAAATCATTATCAAAATTAATATAGAAAATAAATAAATAAAATATTGATACATAATTATTATATATAAAAGAAAATAAAAGAAAATAAAAATTATATATATATATATATATATATATATGTTCCTTCTCAAAACAAAGTAGAGCTTTATGTTTCTATTTTTTTGATCCAATGATATTTTCTTTCAATTTTATTTTACACATTTATTAATTTACTTTACATATTAGTTAAATTTTGAATAGAAATTTTTTCTTGTATTAGATTCTAAAAGATACACTTGTGTGAGTATGTAGATGAATATATATATATATATATATATATATATTATAGAAGTATTTGAAAAGATAGTAATATATTCCTCTATTTGATTTATTTATTTATTTATATTTTAATATACAAATAGATAATTTTTGAATTAAAATTTTCTTAAACTTTTTGACTAATTGGTCTTGTTTATAAAGGTTTAACCTGATTATTTTTTACTTTAAATCAACATAAATTACTATATTCAATAAGCATTGTCTTAAAAAAGACATTGCTTTTAGTAACAAATCAATTTTAATTGTTGAATACCTTATTATTGCAGTAAATTCAAATGATTTTTATACGCATGTTAGTAATAAGTAGCTAAATATATTATATTTTTGTGAAAGAATTCAGAAATGATACACAAAATAATGCTTGGTTAAATTCGAAAGATGGCCAAGGTTTTTATCTACATCTTATAATATATAATTGGTTGAGACAGGATATTCATTAATTCTAAGCTTTTGAATAATAGAACAAAATCAAAAGTAGTGGCTGATTTTATTTATTTATTTATTTATTTTTTCACATTTATTAGTTTTTTGAAATTCTTGTTATAATTTATATTTCACAATTTTTTTATTAACATGTTATCTTTTTCTAATAAATTTGAATACTCTCAAACAAAAAATAACCATGTTAAGAGAGATTACTTGATTGCTCTAAATTAGTTCCAAAGGATTTTCTAGTAATTCTGGTTAAATTTAAAAAGACATTATATATATATATATATATATAGTTATCAAAAAAGTGAATAAAGAAAAATTTGGTTTGTTAATGAATTTAAAAAAAATGAAAATT